GGGGGGCCCCTACAGAGGCCACATTCTGTGGTCCAGTGTGCATAGGGGTGTGACCAGAAAAGCAGTCAGTTCTAGTAAACTGAGGACCTACGACTCTTGGTACTACATTCAGTCACAAAGGGTAGAATGACAGAGACCCTGGGCCCACCGACCATCAGGAGCAGAAATATATTAAGGCAGGATTTTCTGACCCTCACAGGCCAATTCCTGCCAGCTCATCCTGAGGGCAACAAAGAAAGTGTAGGAGGGAAACCCCATCAAAGACAGGACAGAATCAGATCCAACTTTTATGACTTACAGTCAATTCCTGAGTCCTGCAGCAACCAGTGAGCACCCTCATGTGGCTTTTCTGTGCCAATTCAGGCAGTCCTTCCTACTCCCTTACTAAAAGTAGCTCTCTCCTCAGCCCCATGCTATGTGGTAGCTTTGTATCTAGGACAATAACAGCTGCTGGAGAAAGGAGAGTGAGCTGCTAAGTCTAACACAGGAATGGGATGGGGAGGGTGATCTCTTCCCCAGGCCTCTGATAGGGCACAGCCTCACCATCCTCACCACTAGAAGGTACAACCATCCTTAGGAAGTGTGTTCTCAGAAGACCCTGCATCCCTGACAAGCACCTAGGGCCCTGCCCATGTGGCAGTCCTGTCTCAGGTCAGAAAAGGCTTGGGGAAGTCTACCAGGTGGCCACCAAGCTCTCACCCCACAGGTGCTGGAATTGAGGTGGGGATGCTGGTGAGTGCTGAGGGTGACCAGGAAAAGGTGACTCACACACACCACAGCAGCATGAAGTTGGGCCCAATAGGGGCGGGACTATTGTGGGAGACAGAGCTGAATCAGGAGAGTGTGTCCTGATGATGCTATGGCCACAACACAACAAAATGTTCCTCAGCTCCACTGGCAAGTAAGGGTCACTTCTAAGGAGAGCATGATCCTCTCTACATCCCCAAAATACTCTGTGCCTCCTTTGCAGATCCACAGCCACAGCCGCTGAGATCCAAGAGGTTCTCCCATAGATGGTGTAGTGACCCACAACCTTGGTGGCATAGCCACAACCATCCCATCCCTGGATGCTCTGGACTCAAGACACTGGGAGCCCAGCTGGCCCCTGGGAGCTCTTATCTTAATCTATGAACCTAAAGGTACATCAAGGAGGAATTCATGAAACAGGTGTAACAAAACCTTGACCACTGGGTCCATTCCTAAGGGTCACAGGGAGCAAAGTCCCCATTGTGAGACTGCTCTGTGGAGCGACTCCTCATATCCTCACTGAAGAATGAGCCACAGGACGTAACTCCAGCAGGGAGCAGCCCAGATCCGCTGTGTAGGGACAATGACAACCCACCTGAGTGTACAGGGCCTTGGGACACTGGGCGATTACCAAACATGAACCTTCACAGTCCCAAAGATCCATGGATCACCAACAGCTCTCCCATTCTGTGCAACAGCAACAGTGGAAGAGGTCACACATTCTTCCTTTAATATTTTAAAACCACCAGAAAAAGACAAGTAATGTTAACATTTCTAGGCCTCTTAGGTAAACAATTAGGATGCAGAGCAAGAAGGGTGTGGCTCTCTGCAAAGGGCTGATCCCAGCAGCATCAAAACGTGGCTCGAGTCAGGGAAGGGTGACTAAGCAAGAGCAAAGCCAGCTTCCCACACAGGCAACCTGCCAGCCCCAAGTCCTAACCAATAGTGAGGAGATTTCAATGATCAGAAGAACATAAATATGTTCCACATCTCCAAATCCAAGACCCTTCCAGACAGCTCTGACAAGAGCAGTTTCCCTCCTGCCCCAGCATCCAGCCACTACATGGCACCAAGCATCGTGAGGCTCATCTGAGTGAACAGCGCCCACCTGACTTTGAGAACTTAGTACAAAGAGGCAAGAGATCTCCTGCCTACAGTGTCTACAATGATGACATGCAGAAATAACATTCAGTAAAAAACATAAATGTTACCTTTGCTGTTTTTAACTTTATTTTTTGAGATGGGTCTTGCTAAGTTGGCCTGGCTAGTCTTGCACTTATAATCCTCCAAAGTAGCTGAGCTTATGGGCATGCACCACCACACTCACATTTTAAATGAGCTGCTAGAAACTTAAAATTCCACATGGTAATGAATGCCTGTAATCTCAAAACTCTGAGAGGCTGAGGCTGGAAGACCACATGTTCAAGCCCCCAGCCTGTACAATTCAGTGATGTAGGGAAATCCTGCCTCAAAAAAAATTTTTTAAATAAAAAAAGAGTCAGTCAGGGTAGCTCAGTAGTTCTGCTGCCTGCCTCACAAGAGCAAGGTCCTGAGTTTGATCCCCGATACCAAAAAAAAGGAACAATAAATAAATAGTGCCAGGCTCAGTGTGAAGGCCCTGGG